TTTGACTGCCAATGTTCCATGGTGCTCTACCACGACCTTCTCACGGCGGTCTTGCGGGCACAGAACCACCGATTGCCGGAGCCACTCGCCGACACAGGCGACATGCGGGCTGCCCTGTCGCGTGTCTGGATGTGCTCCAAGTGGACAACGACTTGGGTCTGCTTCGCGCAGGGCTCTTGGACGCTTCGGCGGCGCGGGTGCTCGTTGCCTTCAACGACGTCCAGCTTCCGGACGAAGAAGCTCTTCAACAAGATCCACAGTCGGCCTCCGCCATGCGAGTGAAGCGCTCTGTCGACTGCTTGCTTGCGCCAGCCCAGCAAGGCGAGCCAGTTCGAGCAAAGCTGCGCGCGGCTGGGCCGGCTTCCGCTGTCAACTGGATCTTGCGAAGCCGCCCGGGAGAAGTTCACCAAGTTGTCATCATGCAGACCGAGAGCCGGGCGAGTGGGGTGTTCTTTGGCATGTCCCTGTTGCCAACGAAGCTGTGGCATCTTTCGTGACCTACTGGCAGTTCGTCCTCACTTCCCAGAAAGACCAGGACGTGCTTCTCTTCCAGTCTGAGTGGACGCCGGGAAAGCGCGTTCGCACGGTGAGAGACCACATGCCATCCGCGGCCAAGAGGTCGAGCGCTTGGCACAGCCCGTAGATGTTTTTTTCTTTGCTTCATTTTGCGCCGCCTACTCCCATGCAAGCTACGCGACCCAGAAAGGGAAGGTGGTGGTATCGGAGTAGCCGCTGGAATCTGTCGACGGTGGCCAGCTTTTTGATTGAGAAGCAGTACTTTAAGCTGAAGAAGAAAAAAAGAAGAAAAAGCCATGCACTGAGCCAGTCACGCACTTTAGCCATGCGTTGAGCACAAGTGTCTTCCTACTCGATCCACAGAGGGAAACTTGCATTTACTTGCTGCAGCCACTTAGGTTGTCGGCAGCGCCTCGGCTTTTTTTTTAATGGTGGAGCTGCGCCCTGGGTCGCTCGAGCTTGAGAATCGAGTTGACCTTTTTAGTTGAGCTTTTTGTTTGTCAAACAGTTTCTTTGGCATTGCAGACCTGTATAGACCTGGCTCCTAGCGACGCCTGGTTGAGCTCCTCTTGCAGCTATAGTCAGGACTACGTGGAGAGCATAGCAGAAGAGAGCCCCGATCCTTGCGGCATTTGACTGCGGCGGCTTGACTGCGGCGGCTTTCTCGAGCCCGCCGGCTGGCCTTGTTTTTCTCGGCGTTGAAGTCCTCTTCGCGCGCATATGTTACACATATACACTATTCGGCCGGGCGGAGGCCACGTGATGCCTATGATCCATGGGCTTCGCATGACCGGCGCCCTGCCCTTGAGAGTCACTGCTATATACTTGTTGATGAGACAGTTTTGCAAGGCTCTCTTGATCTCCAAGATCCCGCGGCCATAGCTCAACAACCTCAGAAAGGCAGGACCTGCTCGTTGAGAAGCCCGCGGCCATTCCAGCATGTTCAGCGAACTGTACCTGGCCGTGCCAGAACACATCATCGAGCCGCACTTCAGGACACCCCAATCGAAAGATTCGGACGCGTGGATGATTTGGAAGTTGCTTGCATCTGCGGTCGCGGGAGCGACCTATATACGCTTGTAGAGCCAGCTGCAATGCAAAGAAGCCCGCAGAAATGGGGTTCCGCTCTTGGAAGGCTTTCGTCTTGAAGTACTTAGCGCGTCACAGCGCAGGATGCATGGGGCCAGGCTGGCAGATACATGCTGCGCCTGACGCGTTGGCACTTCAAGCCATATGATAAACATATGCCGCTGACATATGCCATTGGCGATGCCAATGCGACCCCTCGATCTGCCAGAGCGAAAAACAAAG